GGCCTCCTATAAGAGGGGACGAACGAACAATAATAGGAGAGCTCACACCACCCTGATAATGACGTACCTGGAGCAGAACAGCTTCAGAGGCAAAATATAACGCGCATACTTACATGTTCTATTGCAATGGTGTTCATATGAATGCTCTAACGTGAGATGACCTGAGAGAAGTCTCATAATTACAGAGTACAGGAAAATGCGAACGACCCGTACCGGGAAAACCAAGGGGACACGTACTTCTAGAGACATGGACATCAAGTAAGTGAAATATTTAACAAATGACGAAGATAATCAACCATATTTTTTGGCAAAATTGCAATGCGGAACACATGTGAAAAGCAACTAACCAATTGATACTCATCATCTGTGGAACCTATCTGAAGGCCGCGGAATATTTCATCTACGTTTCTATGCCCCCTTTGTGTTGAATGTTGGGGTAGAGAAATGTTCCGTAACATATAGCGTAGAGGAGATGCCCAAATGGAGAATGTTGAATTTGCTATATGTTATAATCCTGCCAGAATACTCCTGAGAATAGTCCATTTTTTTGTCCTCTTAAATACTCGTTATACATAACAGGCTAGGCACATACGGAAGAAGTCGAAAAACATTATTCTCCATCTGTCTTATTTACTGATAAACATGGCATATCGCATTCTGTATTCCCCTGCACCTACTAAATTGGGCGACACTATTCTATCGGACACACGAAAACGGGGAATTTCTAGAGAATGCTTATCCCCATCTGGACGCTTCTGTACCAAACGGGGCACAACCCACTCGAGACACCGCAGTACAAATGACACATTGATAAGATATGCTTAGGGATAAAATCATAAGTTAAAAGTAGAAAAAGAAGAAGAACAAGCAGATATAGGTATCACAGCATTCTCGAAGGCCAGGATGTCCAATCCTTACATATCAGATCAGTCTTCCCTAAAGTTGTAATTACGAGACCGCCTATCATTCATTTATCAACGTAAATATAAGTTATGCCATTTTTTTGCCATATCTATTGCTCCAATGAGAGAAAAGTTAATGTATGTTTTACTGATAGAATTGAGGGCACTTTTAGTAGGATGGAAAGAGAAGGAAGTTTCTCCTTATATCTTTGCGAAACAGGATTCATCAAATTTGACACGGAAAAGGAACATTTAGAAATATGGGATTTTAGGAACAGGCCTGTCTTTCCCTAAGTAGTGATCATCATATAACCCATCAGAAACGATACCACCGATTTTGTCAGCATCCCTGTTTCATCCTACCAGCATATATATATATATTATGGTAACCCCTGCATTATATAGAAATGTTTTGAATCACAGGGTGTCCCCTTCTTTCCGATAGGACAAAGCAAAAAAAGATGATAAAACAACAACTCCTCAAAGTCCGAAATCGGACCTCTCCTGGTTGTTTATGGGTCACTCTGTTGGTACCACTCCTTATAAGGAAGGGACATCCCAACACAGACGATGTCATAGGAGATTGATTCCATATACAGACTCATGGATGAATCCTTTCTTGACAAAGACGCTTCCTTATCCATATAATTATGGGGATAGAATGTGTCCATTCACTATCTCACTTGGGACAATCTAAGTCCTCTAACAACTATACAGTCCATGCTTCACTAATAATTAACGGAAAAACAGACTAATAACACGGAAGAAGATCCAGATATTAACACGATGTAGAGTCCGTGAGGACCCACTTGAAGGCATAACATATCGTTTGGGGGATAACTAACATATGGAAGTGGGGTAAGATGACAGGGGACATAACTTTTTAGGGCACCCAGGTGCACACATAGGGTCTGACTCAAGGTTGTAAACGACGATATCAAAGTGGCTTGGGGAGGAGGTCATATTAGTATGGGTCATTTTTCAGCGTTTAACCCCCCCGAACCTAAAAACTCCCCCGCCGCTCTAACCCTCCTGGGATGATTATCTTTAGTAGCCCCTTTATCTATAAGCCACTTCATATTTGTTCCTTCTGCCCGCACCTTTTACTCCCCTGCTCTTCCTTCCTTTACCCCTGAAGATCCTCCATAAACCATAAGCACTGCTCCCTATTAGACATATCACAATCACTCCTCCTGCTAGTAATGACCAACTCTCCAATAAACTCGATAGGAACTCCAATCCTGAGGTTTTCACGTCTTCTGGTGACGAATCCTCGGAAGGGGGTAGCCTCTTATCTTCCATATCACTTTTATCTTCTTCTGAGCGCCCGCTCAATAACCCTCCCACAGGTGGGACATCGGACATTGATGTTTTAACTTCACCGTTTTGGGGCTTCCCCTGCCTATTCAGCTGCTTTACTAAGCCCTTTTCTTGATCTGCTAACGCGGAAGACTCCGAATCGGTGGTGTGCTCCGGTGAGACCGAAACTTCTTTTGAGAATTCATCTCTGCATTTGATTCTACTTTCCTCAGAGGTTGTGCCATTGCATGCGCTAGGAATGGAGTTCTCCGAAGGCTTTGGTAACAGAACTACTGGCTCTAGAAGTATTTCCTGCTTTTTCGACTTAGATCTTAACACCTCGGCGATGTCATGGACCTGCTGTCTATCCAGGAAGCTTAATTTTTCTCCCTTTGTGATCAACACTTGTCTGGGATGATCTGACGAGTCTGAGTCGTTACATATTTCATCTCTTTCTTTAAAATAACAATACTTCTCTCCCTCTGACTCAACCTCATCCGCGCTTCTTTTGAGCCAATAACTCAACTTATATGGGCCACACTGTGGACAGAATCCCCTTAGCGCCTGGTAAATACTCAATATTAAGGCTATTGACGCGTGCTGACAACCATCATATCCCCCACTCTGGGAACAGATTTCCATCTGTCCCTGGCTCCTGTTTCCTCCATGCCCTATCCACTCCGTCCAGTTCTTGCGTGTGAATTCTAGACCCGTATCAACGGTATGACACCCCTTTGCTCTGTCGATAAAAATTTGCGTCTGGTTAGTCTGCCCTTCAATCAATCCTGTTATTATACACATTATCACGAATAATATTCGTTTACCTGAAGGGCATTTGTCCAGGGGGGTGTTGACGCCTTCATCTTGTCCCAGAGCACTTGCCCACTCTTGTCTGGTCCACTGATGGTTATTCATTTCGTTGCCCTTCCTTGATAAGACCTGCCCAGCCACTTTCTCTAAAATTTTGTCCACGAACTCTCCCCAATTCATCTGCTTCCCGGGATCATTTGTCTCCAGTCCTGTGGTTTGTTGTGGATTAAATCCCTTGCCCCACTCATATGTGTTATCCTTCAATAATTTGCCTGATATCCAGAGACTCAGCTGGCCCCACCTGGATGATCCCGAACTCGTCAGTGCTGTGTAACAATACCTGGATGTCCCAGAACAGGAAGACCGTCCTGCTGGAGGTCTTGGATATCCCCATTGTCTGCTTTTGGGAAGGACCCAGGAACTTAATTCCCATGTTTTCCCTTCTCTTGGCATTGACATCCTTGAATAGAGGGAGCTGTTAATATGTCTTTAACATCTTCGCTATTGCCTCCTCAAGAGAGCTACTGTGTTGGCTACAATTATACTCGGAGGCAAACTGTGGGGGTGAAAACTTCTACAAAATCATAATACACCCAGAAGTACTCTTTTATCTTGCCTATAACCGGCTGTTGAATTTTTAGAAATTAATCTTTGTTCTGATGGAGGAGTCCTCTCCTGTGTGATGTCTTTGTGACAGCTGTCCTCCACTGATACCTAAAGAGTCACGTCCTCTCTCTCTGTGGGGCGATTAGCTCGGCCCTGTCCTTCGTTGATATTCCCTGAGTGGCTATTGGCACTCACCCGGGGGTTTTGTTGTGGGAATGAGTTTTGGGGTCCAGCTAATCTATCTCACTTATTCTCTTAAGTCTGGCTCTGGTCATTAGGGGGTCAACATCCTCTGCTTCTAAGTCACTAATTAAGACAAAGACTCCTTCTGTAACCCTCCCGCCTTGACGCGGAGGCGTTCTTTAGGTTCTTCTCCTGATCGACCGGTGCGAGCTTTTTAGACTACGCGCACAAATTCGAATAAACTTCTGGCAAGGTCCTTGACCCTTACCTGATCACTGTCTCTTATTTTCTTGACTCGTTGGGGGGCGGTGATTTCCGGAGCTTCCTGCTAAGGGGCTTCTCATTTCCGATAGGCTAGAACTTTGAGCCGCTACTACTCATTATTTCAGAAGAGAATCTCAGGGCGTTAATATCTTTCTACTCTCAATCCTCTCAGATGTTTCATTTGCTCAGAGGCTCTCAAGTATTCTTGTTGTCTTGGGTGCTGCTTAGGTTTATCTTCATTAAACCCCATGAAAAATAATCAGAGTGATGCCGGATTCCATCCTCTAATAAAAAGAAATTGACTGGGCTCGATTTCTCCGGAACCTATACTCAGACTACCTTTGGAGCTCAAAGAAAGCCCCCTCTATCTTCTGCTAAGGCGATCTCAACCTCCCCGACCTGATTTCAATCTCTCCAGTTATTCTCCTGGACTTGTTCCTTTTATCTTACCAAATCCCCTATTCACTAAAGGCCGCCTGCTCAGATTCATCTTATCCTTCCAGATCTAATCCTTTGCAGAGGAGTTCCCGTTGGGCTCAGTCGCTGACATTTGTACGATTAATATTTTCTGACTTATGTCTCTTCAGGTGTCTCCTTCCCTTAGATATCTAGTCTCGGACTGAAGCCTGTGACGAATCTACTCGAGGCTGTAATTTTCACTTATACATGGGGCTGACATAAGACTCCCTCCATGTCTTACGATTACTTTGGGGGCTTATTCGTTAAGGCTTAGCATTCTTCCCCTGTTAGCTGACCTGACTCAAATACTAACCTTCTAGTCTTTCCCTCCGGTGGTCCACTTCCGCCTGTCCCGGGGTTCACTTGCTTCCTTGACGGCCGGTGTTGGGGAAGAGGATCTTAACGGTTTCCTTCTGAGTTCCGAGCTATTAAGTCATTTGCCACTCCGAACTGTTTTTCAGCTAGTGCTACTTGTGAAGATATCAACATATCGGACGACTTCTAAAAGGGGTTTTGCACGATTTCCCTTCTCCTCTTAGACTCCTTTCTATTTCCTGGTCTTATGTTCCTTTCCTTTTCCTATTACATGCAGTCGAACTGTTCGGTTACTATGAGAGGGGTCCTCTTCACGAGGGGCTTCTTTGTTGGAGGAGGAGGTTATTTTACTCCTTTGATAAGAACTTGTCGCTGCTTATCCGATAAGCTCTTGGCTGAGGGGTTTAGTAGAGAAGAAAGATCCGATGCTTTCTATTATCCCTTCCCTCCCCTGCTAGCCCGCTGCTCGGGGTGGGTAAGGGGATTTGATTTTTCGAGAAATTATCCCCTATTGTGGTGGATTCATGGGCTCAAAAATGTATTCAGGTACACAAATTCCTTTGGAGTCGGTGTTCCATGATTCAATCAACTTTTCCTTTGTTACATACGATTTTTGCTAATTCAGAGACTTCAGATTTTATGGGGGTAATCATGAAAAGGATTTAGAATTCTCCAGCCCTTTATCGAGTCGACACCTTGTTAGGCACCTGTGCTATTTTAGAGTGTTTCTCACGTATCCCTTATTTCAATGGGGGCTGCATTCTGGACCTCCTGCTTTTTGGAAATATATCATTAAGACTTACTTGTTTTTGTGGCGGAAACTTACTGGGGGGTTTTATTGTCCTGATATACGCACAGTCTGCTCTTTCTTCCTGCCTACACTTATAATATTGTCAGGGAATTTCTGAGGCTCGTTGGGGATGGAGGATTTGTTCCCTGTCGCTTCCTTGGGGGTTCAGTAGACTTCTGAAATTTGAGAAAGGAGGGGGGAATTTTTGACTTCCATATCTCGGGTGGAAACTTCCTAATCAATTTAAAGACTATTCAGGGCCAAATTTGATTTTTCTCTAGACTACACGACACATTCCTAGGTGAGACATCGTTTCAAGGCTACTCAGGAGTTATTGTGCCCTCCTATGCGCTGTAGTTGTTCTCCTTTATGATGCTTTATCTATTGTTCTGTTAAAAGCCTCCATGCTTGTATTTCTTCTTTGTTCCCATCTTCCACACATTATCATTTTTGATACTTCTCCTTAACTTCGTTAGCAACCTCCGTTAAATCTAGGACCCCCTATGGTATTTGGGGTGATGGGGGCCGACTAGACTGCTTTCTGGGAGATTCTTAGGGGCTAAGTCCCTCTGTAATATGTTACGGCTCCTGGGGACCCCCACTTTTGTTGTTATTTGAATGGATCCTCCTGTTGCTCCTTCCTCTTTCCAATTCGTTTTATCTTTTGGGGGAAAGAAAACTGGATCTTTTTCGGCTTTTTTCTCCTGACGCTTTTATTCTGGCTTACTCCCCAGTCCTTTTCTGGTACCTGCATATGCTCTACTGAGCTTCATATGTTCTGTTTCACTTTTGATATTCTCTTGAGGTCAGCAATAATTTGCTTCATCTCCTGTGGGGGAAGGGCCGAGATATTCCTCCCCTCCTCTGCTGTTGGTGGCTAGTTAAGGCTTTTGTTCGTAAGTCCCTATAGACATCCTCCTGTAGGAGTTGTATTTGGTGGGAGGCCGCTGTGGTAGAAGAGAAATTTAGCCCTCCAGTTCCGATGTGAGGGTTACCTATTACAGGGGTCAGGCATAGTTGAGATTAGTTTCTCCTATCTGTCCTGCTAATGACGTTTATCCTCTAATATTATAATTCCTTCTCTCTTGTTTTATCACTTCAAAGGGTGGGACTCAATGTGTCGTAGTGTCTTCCTTCTTATAGCTCCATTCCTAGTCTCTTTGGAATATTGCCTGAGGAGTTACGGCAGTCTTCTCTGATCTTTGGCGTGTGGAATTTACTGACTTGACTTGTGGTGATTTCAAATTAGAATAACTTGATCAGATGTGATCTGCGGACCCAGACACTTTGCTCTTTCTTAGTCATCTTTGGTTGCTCCGTCTTACTCTTTTGATTTTTCTTATTCTTTTTCTCTTTCCGTTAAGGAGTTATCATTATTTCATACTCCTATATCTCCGCCTATCGTCTTCCCGTGAGTTCCTCTGAGTCTTTTCGTTACTTCTTTATTCTTCAGGGTATTCTTGGAATTTGTTCCTCCTTCAGAAGTATGATTAGTACTCTCGGCATTTTGTCTAATGATGGGCAGCGAAGACTCTCAGCTCCTACCTCTTTAAGGGGTTTTGTCTGTCTTCATTACGGATGTGAATCCTACCTTTAGGAATCTGCTTCATCTTCTCTGTTACTAGGACTCTTGCCTGTCCTGACGGGCGGTATTCTGTTTTGTAGCATCTTCTACTGGGTCCTGTTTACTCTTAGATCCTCTCCTTTTCTTCGCAACTTCAGACAGTAGGCACGGTTTATTCTAAGTAGGGAGGTTTTCATCTGCTTCTCCGATTACTGAACTCGTGTTTCTTGAAGGCGAAGGGCGGGATTCACGTATCCTTTACTTCTGAGGGAGTTCTAATGAAGCCCCCCTCCTAATCCTTTGGGATTTGATGTATTCAGGGACTACTCACTTTCTTCATCCCCTTTGCGCCTTTTCTTTCTTAGGGATTCTTCTATGTTTTGCCGACCTACAAGGGCTTCGCATCTCCTTGTGTTATATGACTGCGGGGGGGGGCCCTTCAACCAAGGTGAATCTAATCTTCCCCTTTTGTCTTAGATTGGCTTGTTCCCCTTTGAGCCAGCCTCTTGATTAGGAATTTCACTGGGGCTCGTGGATACATTATATTATCACTCCAGTGGGATAGTACCTGCCGATTACTGTTGCAGGCTTTTTTGGTTTTTTCGTTTGTTCTGTAAGAAGAATCTTCTCTTGCCTCTGTAGGTTATTTGATTGGTTCTCATCCTCCTTTGGATTTTGTCTTTTCTATACCCCTTGTTTCCCCCTGCTGCACACGCCGTTTCTTAAATACGTACTTAGGGGGGTGCTTTTTGGGTCCTCCTCTTTATTAAGCCAGCCGCTGCCTCTATAATCTTTTTCATCATTTCTTCCCTTTGACCTAATAGTCCCCTGATATCAATCGTCTCGCCATCATTTGCTCCTGTATTGTGTTTCGCTTTTATTATAAAAGGTATATAGTACCCCATGGCATTTGCATATCTCTGCTCCTTTGCACTTATAGCACTCTTCACAAAGAGGCGTGAACACATTTAAACGCTATAGGTGCCCTCTCAATTGTATGCAATATACAATTAAAATTTAATATGAAATTAGAAGTCATATTATACCAGCTCAAATTCAACAATATATTACTCCCTTTATATATGCATAGATAAAACACGTCATGAATAATCGTGTAATTCTGTGGGGCACATTCTTATCCCAAATGAACGATGCTCTCATCTGAATCTGCATATACTAGTAACTATGTTCTGTCTTTGCGTAAAAATGTGTACCATCGGTACCATGATTTTGCTTTCTCGTTGTGTTTTTGGGTAGCCCCTTTCTGTAGGACGCCAGAGGGGCATCATAATTCACCAGGTTAACACTTGTTATTTCTATGACTCATGAACTAATCCCACATATAAAACGAAGGAAATATAGATATATGTATGTATATGCTTGAGTATATACATGTTTTATGCTAAGGCGTAAAAAGCTCAAAAACACATAGGCTGTTATCGATAGATGATAGCAATGTCTAGAGGTATGATAATTCCGTGTATTCCATGCGCTACCATGTTTCTTAGGTGTCTAGAAATTCATGCACCATCAGTTCACTGCGATAATGTGAATTCCCTTAGACCTTCCAAAGGAAGAATGCTGTATGTTCCTCCCTAATTTACTATAATTCACGATATGCATAATTGAAAACGTCGTTATACATACATGCATATCTGTTATTCCTAGTGTCTTTTCATAGATGTCCACAAATTGTATAGCTGTCAAATAAATGTGAGGACCTTGGGAACGCATTATAAAATTGCAATCTTTCATTACTCTCCTATCCAAAAGAGATTCCTAAAATATAAATTACGTAATGCAAAAGCATTGCAAAGAACGTAATCACCCTAAGGAGTGCCATCATAACAATAAATATTACATAAAGAATTCTTTCCAGACACATATGCAACGGTATGTATGGATATAATTATAAAAATCGATATGTTTCCTAAAGAGTTACGTCGTCCGTTACGTGGTCAGTGTTGCAGGCAGTGCAACAAAGATGTGACAATATATACTTAGGACCGTTACAACGGAAAACATAAAAAGAAAGTACTTCTAAAGGCAGTTACAATAAAGAAAATAATTCAAAATAATGTGTAGCAATATATTAGATTTTTCAGGAATCCGTTCGAGGATATCTTTAGTCCTTTGTGTTATTCACTTTTTCTCTGTCTCAGTTAATATATGATGAGAGTTAAGCAGATAGTATTTCTGTTCTATGACCCTTAATCATACATCCATTTATGTACTATATAATAGAAAATAAAAACGTGCATATAAAGGGGCGTATCTAATACACATCTTATAAATAAAAGACGAATTTTACCAACGGTGATGCATACAAGATTTGCTTCATCCATATACATAATATTAATTCAAGGTTGCAATATTTTGGCAGTTCATAATATATTCACGCAGCCGTAGGATACTCATAATTAACGCTGTATCCGCTAAGCTATTCTTAGGTTTCATAGGTTACGATGAACCCACTAATATAATGACATGCATTACAACACATCATATGAGCGTATAAATACTCCTAATAGAAGACACATCATGGAACATATTGAGCTGTGTACATTTTATATATTATTGGGGGAATCACATCATACAATATGGATGTAGGAGGTGCGTAGATAAATAAAGTCTGTGCGAAAATATACTACCTCGCGCACACGACGCCACTAAAGGGCAAAGGTTGAAAATAAATAATTAATTACTAATACCGCAACATTACAAAATTTACGCGCACTATATTTAACAAAATATATAATTTCAATGCAAGAAAAAAAAACTTTTATTTAAAAACACAATTTTTAATTTACTCCCCACTGCATCCAAAAAAAAAAATGCACTACGCGCAGAATAAAATGTAAAAGCGACGAATAATTTTTAGTAAAAATTCATTTAAAGAAATTTTTCCTTGGAATTCATTCCATTTATATGAAAACATTACTATGAAATGGTTTTCAACTACTATTTTTCCGGGTGAAACATAATTTTTCCTCTTCCTACATAGCTAGAATTACACTGTATTTCTATTATTTATTCATATTATTCACATAAAGCAGCGCACTTTCACAGTACGCCCTGCTATTGGGTGCATCTACACACACAAATGAATGAAATATAGAATTCATATAAATACTTACGATAATAACCACTAATTATTGAGCTCACAAAGGTGCCCCGTGTAATTCACTTTCTTCTCTGGTGAAATAACCATATTTACGCGAAAGAAGAAAATAATTAAGTCTGCACTACATAGCATACAGAAATCAGTCCATTATCATC